AGAGCGTCATGCGTGATGGGAGCAAGCTTTGAACAAAGAAAACTCGTGAAGTGAATATCATCTACGTATATTCATTATTCATTATTCATTATTCATTATTAATAAATAATAAATAAATAAATACCAGCCGACATTTGCGACTTCAGAGTACACAAGTTTCAAGAAATTCCCCGGTAAAAAAGAAAGAAAAGAAGAAAAAAATAAAAATAAAAAGCACAACGTACTACAGTTCCCTTTGGTTTTAGCGGGGAAAAAAAGAACCCAATGCGCGTTCGATAACCAAAGAGAAAAAGAAAACCCCAAAACGGCACCGTCTCGAAACGTCGACATCGACAGTGTCCAACCCAAAAAAACGCAACCACAATCATCATCTCAATCTCCGATTTCAGACAATCCCTCGATTTCGAATACCTTCTTCTTCTTCTTCTTCTTATTTTCCATCAGTGTCGGAAGCTAGATTCAGATTCAGATTCAGATGTTCTAAAGCACTCACACATGGCCACAGCAAGGTCCCCGAACCGTTCTTCCGAGGACGCCGCCGATCCGACGCCGTTCATCGGGACTTCCTCCGACGACTCCACCTCCGGCCGCCGCCTCCTCCGCCGCCCGAGCCTGCGCGAGGCGGCGCGCTTTCTGCGGCAGGCGAGCGGGCGGAGGCTGATGCGCGAGCCCTCTATGGTGGTGAGGGAGGCGGCGGCGGAGCAACTGGAGGAGCGGCAGAGCGATTGGGCCTATTCGAAGCCCGTCGTGGTCTTGGACGTTCTCTGGAACTTCGCCTTCGTCGTCGCCGCCGCCACGGTCATGGTTCTCAGCCGCAACGAGAACCCGAACATGCCTCTCAGGTTGTGGATTGTAGGCTACGCTCTGCAGTGCGTTCTCCACGTCGCGTGCGTCCTCGTCGAGTACCAGAGGCGCCAGCGCCGCCGGGAGCAGTCCGGCGCGGCCGCTTCGATCGCCGGCACCGGGGTTTTGAGTTCCGCTTCGTTGGACGGCTCTGGACAGTACGTGTCGTTGGCGCAGTTCGAGGACGATGGCGTGAGGTAAAAACGACGCTGTCGTTTGCACTTTGAATTTAATTTATGAGTGCTTTCCCGTTTTTTTTTTTTTGAAACAGCAAATATGAATTAATATTAATTAAGACACTAGGGGTGCCATTAACCCTGTTTACAAAGATTTTGGTTAGATATAATATAGTAAGATAACTATATTACTAGCTAACCAATTAAATTGTCAATAATTGTCAATGGTGGTAATCAAATACTCGTGAAGCCCAATACCTTCTACCTACAGTTTTGACAGTTTTGATCCATTCCCCATATCTACATATTCTAGTGTTCCTTCGTGATTACTTCCAGCTGTCCCAAATTTGGTGAGACACTTGAATGGCATTAAAAGCCTCGTCACTCATCCGGAAAGACCCTGGATGCATGCGTGCTTTCCCGTTTTAGTTGTGTTTATTACGATAGCGCTCGACTATGAAGAACTGAGTTTGCTTCATTGCGGTTTGAGTGAATTTAAGGAACCTGCGTGCTTTTATAGTTTTTCCTGTGATGTAATAGATGTTCGTTGAACTAATTGAAGTTTTATTACATGCACAGTTTTTGACTGTATTTTTGGGATGTGCATGTGATATGTTTGGGTACCTGCACACACTTTGAGTCTGTTTGGATACAAACTTAGAAACTCTCTTAAATGTAGAAATTCCCAAAATTGCTTCTAACTTGTATCCAAACAAGTTCTTTGTGCTTCAAGTCCCATTACTGAAAAATAGCCGTGGTTGAAAAACTTTGGTAGACCTTCAGTCCATAATTCAGAGAATGCACATGGAGACTTTTGGTTTCTCAATTGTTTAGTTAAAAAGAAAAAAAAAAGATGTCAGTTAACAATATGTCAAATGCTTTAATTTTCAAACTTGTAATCCTTTTAGACTTTAGTCCTTTCGATCTCAAACTATCTTTCAAATTGCTTTGAGTGACTGAAAGTGATGTTGTAACTTGACTTAGATCGTAGGATGAGATTGTAAGGTTCTCATCCGTTATCAGATATTAGATATTTTTATTCAATCTCTCAAAGCATGGGTGTGAATTCGCAGGCTTATCGTCTATGTACTGATAGATTATTAATACTTGATTTTTGAACGACAATTGGGATGGTGACTAAGTGTATAATTTTAAATACTGGATGATCTGGGAAAAATGCTTTACTGCCCTGATTTAATTTCCAAAAAGGGTATGTAACCTTTGTTTAAGATTAATAACTTTTTAATGTGATATTTTTTTCCTGTTATGAATTAACTTCCCAACTTGAATTAATAAGACAGTTTCTAATTATCTGTCATTTTATAGATAGAAGAAGATACTTTAAGTTTGTGTTTATGCTAATGGAGTTGTGGCCTGAGGGTTGAAACAAGAATACACGATGTCCATTATTTATTATCTTGTGAAATTAGTACCATAAATTATTGATTTTTGTGTTTGTCTTCTTTCCAAAGCAGTATGGCAAAACATTTGGAATCAGCCAACACAATGTTTTCATTTATTTGGTGGGTTGTTGGATTCTATTGGGTATCAGCTGATAGTCAAGCTTTGGTCCAAGAGTCTCCTATGCTTTACTGGTTTGTTCTTTCTCTCTATTTGACACATGTGTGCATTCAACTTGTTCATATATCTATTATTAAACTTATTTTCCTTTTGGGAAATGTACAGTTATTTGGTTTGATTACCTTTGACAAATTCTACTTGCTTTGCAGGTTATGTATAGTCTTCCTGGGTTTTGATGTTTTCTTTGTGGTTTTCTGTATTGCACTGGCATGCATCATTGGTATTGCTGTTTGCTGTTGTCTACCATGTATCATTGCACTCCTGTATGCTGTTGCAGACCAGGTAAATCATGTTGTCATTACTGGTTCTTGTTTGAGTTGGTATGGATGTGTGAATCTAGTGCCTCAAGTAAGTGTTGATTTCCTTAGAAATTTGACTCTACCTGGCAGCATTTACCGAGTCTTAATTGATAAAGTTTATGGCTCTAAATATTATGTTTTTAGTTTATTTGAGGCTAAATGAATTTGATGAATGAAATAGAATAGATGTAGAATTGCTATTTGGTATAGAGATAAATATGCTAGTTTCTATGATCTATTTTTGTTTATCAGATGAAGTTGGATGTGAAGGAAAAAATTGTCCTGCACCTGCAAAACTAAATATGTGAAATTTAAAATTTTCTGTTGCTTGTTGTGGTGTGATTTTAATAGGATCCTTAAGAATATAAGATTTTGAGCAGAAATTATAAATGAAATGATTGGGAAATTTGAGGATTGATCAATTGTATCTTGTATTATGTCAATCATATGAATTGTTACAAAGGAAGTATTACATTCATTCTACTGTTGAAGGGGAACAACCTAAAATAAACCATAGTTTCTTGAGCTTGGTAATGCTGTTTGTGACATTCTGAGTGAGCTGGCATGTGTAGCAGACCAGAAGCACTGATAGTCTCAATTGTCTCCAACTTGATCTTCTAGTCACCCACCTACCCACACCCACACATATATATTGGTGGGGATCAGTTTAAAAGTAATTTTTGGTAGAGTTATTATACTTGATAACTCAAGATAGATGTTAAATTTCAACGATTCGATCATTAAATTAAAAATATTTATTGAATAGATCAAGTCTACAGATTTTTGCAAAGTTTAAAAACTATTTGATACTTTGTTACATAAATTCAAATTAAACTAGCAACTATGAAGGAATTTGACTTATACTGCCGTAAAGTAAATATGATAAAAGGGAATGTTTTGCTGTCGTAAAATAAACTGGGCAACTATTGAAGCAATTTAACTGGTTCTGCTGTGTGGCTTATGAAGATGGTACTGTTTCTTGGTTGTGAATTAATGTTTAATATGTGAAGTATGAGACAAATTATGATCTCTAAAACTTGCTATGCAAAAGAAGAAACTGACTTTTAGTGTGGTGTAACTAATTTTGAGACATTTGCATATGCATGATATGAAAGGTGGCTTGATCAACTGTGATGAGTAAAAGGTTAAGTTCTTGAGGTTGCTTTATTGGGAGCATAAATGGAGACTGTTAATGAATGTGTCTTTTGGATTTTTCAAGGTTGAAGATGAGGTGAATTATAGCATGATATACTTCTTATGACGAAATGAAATGTCCTATATTGTTTTGTTTAGAGATAACTTATTTTATCCTGAGATTTATGTGCTTCATTCAGTTTCACTTTGTTGACCTTCAAGTATTTGTGACTGAGGAGTAAAATGTCATGATTTGCTTTCCTACAACTTGGTGCATTGTGAATATATTACTGATTTTTGAGTGTTTGAATGAACATGATGACAATGTCTTGCAGCTCAAGAGTATTTAACTGTGAGATATTTGTTGTAATGTATTAATTGTACTGTTCTTTGCCTTAATGCCTTTCTCATTTGTTGGGGAATGGGGATGTAAAAAAAAAAAGCAGGAAGGGGCATCGAAAGAAGACATTGAGCAGTTGTCAAAATTTAAGTTCCAGAGAACTGAATCTATCGAGAAACTTGCTGGGAATACACAAGAAACTTCTGGAGGAATAATGACTGAATGCAATGCTGATTCTCCCATTGAACATGTTCTTTCTGATGAGGATGCGGTATGCTGTACATTTTTGTTATGTTCAATATATTTCAAAGGAAAATCCATTTTGTTTCAAACACTGGCTTTGTTATAAGCTATAGCACAGAGCTGTGTTTTGAACACATTCCCACATTGGAGAATGCATTATGCATATATTTTTGTATGATTGACAGCTTTCCATCTCCCCTTTTTTCTTGGTCTTTTTTCTCAATCAAATTTTACATTGGAAGGAATTTGAAAAAATGTTTCAAGAAAATGAGAGATAATGTTTATATGATAATTCGATTGTTTGAGAAAACTGGTTGCACCCTCTTTGGTGTTGCTAATCTAAAAATACTTTTTTTTTTTTTTTTGTGGCAAACTGTAGGAATGTTGCATCTGCCTTTCTGCTTATGATGACGGGGTTGAACTTAGACAACTTCCTTGTGGCCATCATTTTCACTGTGCCTGTGTGGACAAATGGCTGTATATCAATGCTACTTGCCCCCTGTGCAAGTATAACATCTTGAAAAGTACCAGTCATGCTCAAGATGAAGTCTAAAAATGCCGGAAAAGTTTCTAGTAGCCATGTTGGGAAAATTGCATATATTTTGGTTCACAGTACGATAAGCACAATTTGTTAATATACTTCAATATGCCTTTATTGTAGTTGCTGCTGCTGCCTACTCGTTTATCGTCTTAGTGGTAGTTGTTTGATTATTCTTCATTATGGTGGCTTCTTACTGGTAATGTATATCTGCTCATTGTATACCGGAAATAATTATCTCTAGGCAAGTTGGTTGTCATTTTTTTAAATCTTTGTCATCACTCATCATTATTGATCTTTGTGGATATACTGTTTTGTTGTATAAACTCCCGAGTGTGTCTCGGTGTACGTTTGAGAATGGTCAATTCAACTTGCCTCCTTTTGGCACTGTCATTTTCTGAATTCAAATTGAGGCTGTCACAGTTGCTGGTTATTTACCACAAGCTCGATAGGTTGCTGATTCTAGTGCTGAAGAATGAGACCAAATAGTCAATGGCTGTTTGCAAGCTGAATCCGAGGGAGAACTGGGTGTATATGTTCATTAAAAGTTGGCGGCTCCTGTTTTTGCTGAATCACGACAGTTCAGAAGTTCGAATTATATTTTTGCGTTCATCTGTCTGATATTGATGGCACGATTGTAGACTTGTAGTTTGATCATTGACTAGATGAATAGAGCAACACACTTTTTGGGGGGAGTTGTCCCTTAATTGGTATTTTATTTTCTTGAGAGATTAGTCTCGTAATTTCAATTGTAGGATATTTTACTTTCAGCAATAAAATAAAATAAAATATGTTGAGCAATATGAACTCTTAAATTTGTATTTTTAGGTAAATTGCAAAAAGATTTTATATTGTTTTCATAATTAAATTTTTGTTGGTTTTTTTTTTTTTTTTTTGTAGCAAAAGTTGTGGGTCAATGTTTTTCTTTCTCACATAGGTTTATTTTAAAATTCTATTGCGTTATCACTTCTGTTTATTGTTCTCATTTTTTATTTAGTATCCATTTTAAGTTACATAAAAGAGGAATTTTTTCTTAGTTTCGTCGTGTTATAATCTGAGATTGTAATACAACCTGAGACATTCCTGTGTTTTCCAATAAAAATTAGGGTGTAATTGTGTAAATATGTTGTCAGATATTTGATCTACCGCCGAGTCATCTTATCTCCTTTCCCTA